AATATTTCTCAATTTTCCGCAGACATTTGGGACATTTCCCACCTTTTTGAAAGGCAAAGTGAGAACCTATGGGTCACACAATAACTCGGTAATTTTGAACTGGATTATGCCCGAAACAGCATGTCCTATACGAATGAATCGTACCAAAGCAAATTTTTTCATAAATCACTCAAAAAGTTGGATGCAATTCCGCTCAAGTGGAGTGATGTCTCCTTGGTTTGCTCTGTGTGTTTTAGCAGTGAATAATTCTTTGAAAAGGGATATGTCAGTCAACAATTCTAGATCTTAGATATTCAAAATTGTGAACCAAGGAGAAAAAGATGACTTATAACTTATAAGACTGTTCATTTGTATCTGATACCTTGATTTTTGGATTATAATTTCTTGCAAGCTTTTTTTTTTTTTTTACATGCAATCCAGTTGCTTACCCATAAGTATACTGAAGTCCTTGCTTCAGAGGAAGGTTAAGAATTTGTAAAAAATGTGAAGAATAAGCTCAACTATTGGAAGGAATTTCACGTGTAAATCTGATACTGTTTCTGACTCCAATGTTCAGCATCCAACTATCGTAATGTGTCCTCTTTGCAATGGAAATGGAAGAGATGATTTCGTCGTCGTTGCTCAAGCGTCAGATTTCCCGACGCGTGTGATGCGCAGAAAACATCAGTATATATATATATATATGAAGTGCATCGATTTGAATAAAAAGACGTCGTTTGCCATTCATTTCAACAGTTGAATTTCATCCCCGTTTTATTTTTCATCTCTGCTGCCTTTGGTCAAATAAAAAATCCTAGTTATATACGTTGCGGAAGAACAATAATAAGGAGCTAAGAAAATATCAATTTCAGCTGAGATAATCACTTCGAAGGAATCCAAAAAGACAATATTTGAGGATCATGATGCAGAACTTAATTGTTCTCCGTCATCTGCCTCATCTTGGCTGATTCTGCTTTGTTATTGCAATCTGGAATGATCGTCCATGGAAGCGTGTTTAATGGGAAAGAAGATGTCAATTGAAAATAATCAAGAATATTTAATGAAAATAAGTTAGTAGACAGGAAATTGGTTCCGTGGATGGCGTACTTGTGGAACGACAAATTCAACTGTGGTGACTCCTTGGTATCAAACAGAGTCATTCTGACCAGTGCTTGATGCGTCTGCGCTGGCCGTGCTGAGTAATACAATATCAGTTACTGTTGCAAGATTTTTCCCAATTTTTGTTGAGAATCATTTACTCCATATCGAGGTTGGGGGACTGACCAGAACCCAAGGAGATGAATTTCAGACTTCTGGAGAATTTCTTGGGATGCAAGAGCTTATACCAAAAATGGCGTCATTGTTCACCCAGACTATGCAACTGGTCGTATTTTTTGAATGACTTGGCGTTAGTAAAAATGGTGACGGAAGTTTCAGCAGTTATACGCGATTACATCACACCAGTAATTCTTGCGCCGTCGAATCTAGCTGTACAAACATANTATTTTTTGCTTTTTGAAAACGTGGTTTTTTAGATTAATTTTTTTATCTACTATAATTATTATTGGTTTCATTGATGACTTCGTCACTTTTAAATGCAGCATTTTGTTTTTATTTTTGCGTCGAACGAGGACTGGTTCAAAATATGTACTGTATCAGTTTATCAGTGCAATATTTGTCTAATTTAGTATTTCTTTTTTGTTTTTGTATCGGGAGACTAATGTTCATTTTATTTATGGTTGAGACGGGCAATATGCTCGACTAGATCTTTTTGGAATATTACTCATTTCGACCAAGGTTCTAATTTTCCAGGTTTGAATAGCAACAAGACATGAAAATTCTTCCAATATTTTGAGGAAACAATTGAAAATTAATTGACTTCAGTTTAAATTAATTTATAAATTCATATTTGGGTGTCTTTATTTTTGAAATGCAGTACTGCATTTTTACAGTATTTAGAATGGGGTGCACGTCTTACTCTGGGCTGGGATTTTATCGAAGCTCTAACTGAAAAACCCCTGTGCACATCGTACTCAAAAGCCAGCACTTGGTACTCAAGTAAATAGCAAAATACGGTGCTTAGAGTTACGCAATTGCGAAATACTTTTGGCTTTTCGAATTCCAGATTAGTCAATTGACTGTGATTAAAATTTTCTACTTTCATTGTAGGATCGCCTGGAATACTCGAGCTACGGAAGTGGCTTGACCAATGATCACTACCTTGGGACAACACAAGGAGAATTGTATGGATTAGATCACGATGCCAGTCGATTCAGTCTTCCGGTGCAAGCAGCACTGACGCCCTCCATGGGTCTGGATGGTACAGTATTACAGTTTAGAAAAACATATAATCAAATTAAATAATCATGTGCGTACCATTTACGAAATTTCAGGTTTGTACCTCACTGGTCAAGATATCTTGTCAGCTGGTTTCACTGGAGCTTTGACAGCAGGTACTATAACTGCGTCTGAGATTCTAGGACGGAACTTGCTTCTTGAACATAAGTCCTTCATGAAAAAGTTGGGGAAGAATGATGCTAAAAAGTTGAAATGAACCGGTGAACAAATGTGAAATTCAAGTGGTGGTCGAGAATTCCCGTATATTGCGCAAAGGCCTGTGGAGACTACTAACTTGGTTGTTGAAATAAAAGCTATTCATCGAGTTGGACATTCATGTCGGATTAGTTGAATTAATTTTAATAATATTTCTCAATTTTCCGCAGACATTTGGGACATTTCCCACCTTTTTGAAAGGCAAAGTGAGAACCTATGGGTCACACAATAACTCGGTAATTTTGAACTGGATTATGCCCGAAACAGCATGTCCTTTACGAATGAATCGTACCAAAGCAAATTTTTTCATAAATCACTCAAGAAGTTGGATGCAATTCCGCTCAAGTGGAGTGATGTCTCCTTGGTTTGCTCTGTGTGTTTTAGCAGTGAATAATTCTTTGAAAAGGGATATGTCAGTCAACAATTCTAGATCTTAGATAATCAAATTATACCATTCAAAATTGTGAACGAAGGAGAAAAACATGACTTATAACGTATAAGACTGTTCATTTGTATCTGATACCTTGATTTTTGGATTATAATTTCTTGCAAGCTTTTTTTTTTTACATGCAATCCAGTTGCTTACCCATAAGTATACTGAAGTCCTTGCTTCAGAGGAAGGTGACGAATTTGTTAAAATGTGAACAATAAGCTCAACTATTGGAAGGAATTTCACGTGTAAATCTGATACTGTTTCTGACTCCAATGTTCAGCATCCAACTATCGTAATGTGTCCTCTTTGCAATGGCAATGGAAGAGATTTCGTCGTCGTTGCTCAAGTGTCAGATTTCCCGACGCGTGTGATGCGCAGAAAACATCAGTATATATATATGAAGTGCGAGCTAAACTTATTTTTCTGCAGCAAACGGTAAGTAAAGTTGTCAACTTAAAGTAGGGGCAAAATAAAAAGTAGAGACGACGGAAACCAGTTTATTTTTTAGGATCAATATATGCAACGCCTTCTTGTATATGAAGGAGCTAAGAAAATATCAATTTCAGCTGAGATAATCACTTCGAAGGAATCCAAAAAGACAATATTTGAGGATCATGATGCAGAACTTAATTGTTCTCCGTCATCTGCCTCATCTTGGCTGATTCTGCTTTGTTATTGCAATCTGGAATGATCGTCCATGGAAGCGTGTTTAATGGGAAAGAAGATGTCAATTGAAAATAATCAAGAATATTTAATGAAAATAAGTTAGTAGACAGGAAATTGGTTCCGTGGATGGCGTACTTGTGGAACGACAAATTCAACTGTGGTGACTCCTTGGTATCAAACAGAGTCATTCTGACCAGTGCTTGATGCGTCTGCGCTGGCCGTGCTGAGTAATACAATATCAGTTACTGTTGCAAGATTTTTCCCAATTTTTGTTGAGAATCATTTACTCCATATCGAGGTTGGGGGACTGACCAGAACCCAAGGAGATGAATTTCAGACTTCTGGAGAATTTCTTGGGATGCAAGAGCTTATACCAAAAATGGCGTCATTGTTCACCCAGACTATGCAACTGGTCGTATTTTTTGAATGACTTGGCGTTAGTAAAAATGGTGACGGAAGTTTCAGCAGTTATACGCGATTACATCACACCAGTAATTCTTGCGCCGTCGAATCTAGCTGTACAAACATACCCTGAGGGATTTCCGGTCATCATTATCGGATGGGGATGATGATATACGCAGCGAAAATGCTAGACCTGAAGTATGAAATTCTGCCGGTTCACTTTTGTTGGATATACAGTACTTCACGCAGAGCACGTTGACACAGTTGTCCAGCACCTCCTGAGGTTTTCCGTATTCCTGGTGCTGAATGAATTGATGGATGTAGTTGAACGGTGGAGCTGTATTCAAGGCGGTCACAATTAACTGCTGGTTTCCATCTCCTCCATAGGAAACAATGATGCGTATATTGGAAGTAAATTTGACTGCCAGAACAAGTATACTGTAGTCCAGAAGTATGCGCAAATTTTCCCTACAGATCTTCATGTGTCAGTCTCTACATAAGAACAACAGGTCCTGCGTATGACCTGTGAATGAATCCGTTATTCTTCATCATAAAACTCCTATAGAAACTATTAGTTGAAATACTAATAATAGACTCACCATCATTTTCGCTGCGTCCCCGTCCGATAATCATTACGGGGAATCCCTCAGGGTATGTCTTTACTGCGTGGATTTGGAGGCGCAAGAATTACTGGTGCGATGTGATTGCGTAAGTGATGGAACTTCGGTCACCATTTTCACTAACGCCAAGCCATTCGAAAAATACGACGGGTTGTAGTCCGGGTGAACCCTGATGCCATTTTTGGTATTCTCTTGCATCCCAAGAAATTCTCCAGTGGTCTGAAATTCGTCTCCCTGTGTTCTTGTCAGTCCCTCAACCTCGATATGGAGTAAATAATGATTCTCTTGATGGTTTTCACAAGTTTTTCGCCATCCCTGAAACCGGATATATACAGTATTTAAAAAACAAAACTGATGGCGATTAAACGATTGTTTATTGAAGAGGTGCTGATGGGTCATAATGAATCAAATCATAAAATATGCCAGTTGGATTCAGGAAAATTAATCACATCAGAATTAAGATATTAATTATATCTGCTGACAGCATACTTTAAGTTCAAGTAACCACAAATTATGCTTGCATCCTGCGCCATTCTCTGATATACAAAAAACCCTCTACAACAGGGTATTCCTTAATTTCTAACGAAAAAAACCCTTTGATACGCACATGTTTGTTGGCCTGTTATTAGGGTTCAGTATATTTTTGCTGGAAGACAGAGACTCACGCAAGGAAGTTGTGTTGAGAGAAAAAATCTGCTGTCACAAATATTCTAGAAAAGTTTTTCGAATTTTGGATTTTTGTATGTTTTGAAGGAATATATATATATAGGAAGAAAGGTGTAACGTTTTGACTTTTCTACATAGCCCCAGGAAAAATTTGAAACAGTTTACAGGTTTATAGCCTAAAATAGTCAGACTTAGTTCATTATTGTACACTATATTGTATGATGTTACAGTTGAACCTCTTCAAGTCAAATTTCAAGGGACCTGCAAAAAAAAAATTCCACCTATAGGCAGGTTTTATACAGGTTTGAACTACAATACAAAGCCCTTTTTTCAGGGAAACTTAGAAAAAATGTAAATGATGATATTCTGGGGCTTAAATGGCTTCTTAAATGAGTTGAAAGGCTGCTGAACTTGGAGGCAGGGGTTCATTTGCTCAATTAAGTCTTTAATCCTTTTTACATCCTTTAGAACACATAAATTTCTGTTTTTCTTGTTTTTTTTCTTTCTTGGATCAAGAAATAATGGCCAATAGGCCAAAAATAATTTGACTTATGGAGTTTTGAGGGGAAAGGCTTTTGACTTGGGGAGGTTTGAGTTATTGAGGTTCACCTAGCTGTAATTAATTTAAGATGCTGTAATTTAAGATGCTGTAAAGTTATGATGCTATAATTAATTTAAGATGATTGTGTATACTATAATAAAACAATAGAATACTGTTCATTGGTTTTCTGTTGTCTATATAAGTACTGCACCATGAGATTTTCCCAACATATGGAACAGATCAGATGGTTTTGTTCATTAAATTAGAGGAAATTGCAACAACAAAAATTGGGCAAAAATCCTGGAACAGTAACTGATATTATATTACTATACTCACGGCCAGCAGACGCATCGAGCACTTGACAGGATGACTCCATTCGATATCAAAGAGTCATCACAGTTGAATTTGTCGTTCCACAGGTATGCCATCCACGGAGCCAATTTCCTGTCCACTCACTTATTTCCATTAAATATTCTTGATGATTTTCCATTGATATCTTCCTTCCCATCAAGCGTGCTTCCATGGACAATCATTCCACACGTCAACAACAATAAAGCCAGTGTATGAGGTAAATGGATGACGGATAACGTAAGTTCTGCATGCTGATCCTCATATATTTCCTTTTTGCAGATTCTTCCGAAGTGATTATCTCAGCTGAAATTGATATTCACTGAGCTCTTTATATTATTGTTATTCTTTCGCAATGCGCTGAATATAGGATTTCTTATTGGGCCACAGGCAGCGACAGAGAGATGGAAAATCAAACGGGGATGAAAGTCAACTGCTGAAATGCATTGAGGCAAACAGCGACCTTTTATTCAAATCCGTGCACTCCGCACTGTTGCTTTCAGCGCATGTATCTCACGTGTCGGTGAATCTAACACTTTCGAGCGACGACGACAAAATCATCTCATCCCTGCTATTTCGCATTTATCGCTGAACTGTCATCGCGTCACTCGAATGTGCAATGAATCCATCCAAAAGTTGTGTGGTCCACAAGCCATATCTTTTCATGTCATCAGGGCCACAAACGGCAAAATTGTGGAACATTTCTGTAGTTTCCCTTTTTTATAGTTTTAATAGTTGCCTTCTTCACGCGTGGCAGTGCGCAGCAGCCGCGGAGGTGAGAAAAAGACACAATTGAGCCAGAAATTTGGACCATTTTTTTTTTAAATGAGTTGCTCTGGAAAAAATCATCAAAATACGTGAATCCGAAGAGTCGTGAATCACATCAATGGTATGAAATTATTTTTTTCCCTGGATAATCAGGAAGCATGGGTGACAATAAGACTCATTATTCATGAATTCATTGCTGCTCAATGCGTAGAAGGATACTGTATGTGATCTTCTCGAAGATATTTCCTCATGATATAAATTAGTATCAGTTGTCATTCACTATTGAATATAAAATATAACATAAAGTGAAATTCGAGATCGGATTGTCTGTGCAGCAGATGTATAATCATGTTTTTTCAACGCATTGATGCAAATTTTTTTTAGAGTTAAGACAACAAATTGGCTGATTGGCAATCTCTGCTGCAGTTGGGGTGGTTTTTCTTTTTTATTTAAGTCTAGCTGTAATATTTTGGCATAGTGAATTGTATTGTAAAGGTCATTATTCTTGCTTTTAATGAATGAATGAACAGAAAACTTTATTTGCCGCTTTTCAGCGTTCACAAGGCACAACCAAGACTCCCACATCCAAACCCCCTCCCGCACCCAACCCAACTCCCCCAAAGACATTCAATCACTTCAAACCATGAAATAAAGCACAAACCAATGGCAAAAACAAAAGAAAACACACTCCACAAAATAAAACTGGAAATCCTACAGGTATGCTGCATGCACCCACCCATCCCCAATATTGAAGACAAAGCATCAGTAAAAGTTTATTCAAAGCACAAGGTCTTCAGCCTGTTTCTGTATGAGTTTTAGTTCAATGAACAATTTAGAGAGGGTTTTTGATGAGAAATCTTATAAGGCCAAAAATGTATCTTGATCCTTTAAGATTTCAGGAAGTGTCTCTTCATTGAATTTCAGTAATTTTAAATCTTTCTTAGGCTGATTTATATCCATTTGAAATGCTTTTAAATAGATGACAATTTGTGATTGGCTATTTCACTTAATTTGAGGCTATAATGTTAAAATACTTTTATTTGGGCCAATATTATAAAACTAATGACGATTCGTTAGCAACAAAACCTCGGTTCAGTTTTACCATAATTGAGTGATGGAAACCAAATATTAATTAATCTTGGATGAATTCTTGCGTTATGATGACATTGGCAATGGTTTGCCTTCAAATGACAACCAATCTGAAATACAAGGGTTGTCCTAGTTGTACGTGACATCTTTTTTTTGAATATAGGTGGTGATGTTAAAAAAAAAACGTTTGACATAGCCCATATACTGTTCTAAGGTTCTGGGATTTTTTCAAATTTATTTTAAAGCAGTTTCTCAGTTTTTCATATTTTACTGAAATAAGATAAGTGAAAACTTTCCAGTCACAGCTAAAGACCAAAGTTCTCCATCCATGTCCCAAGGTACTAAAAAGAATTCCGGCTTGCTGAAAAATTGGATTGTGTCGTTACTTTAGCCATTATGAACAATTTAGACAAGATAATTGGCATAATATCTAGAAATTTCAAGCTTTTAGCTGGCCCGACCAATTTTTCAGCACACTGCTGTGACATTCCTGGAAAACTCTGCATGGCTGTAACTGGAAAGTTTTCATCCTACAGTTAATAAAAAAATCCTTGCAACATCATGGGTTATATCTTATATGTCATGATTTTTTTGTTTTTACCATAACATCAATCTACTCTAATAATATGAGAGTTCGCGTTGAACTGGGACAACCCTCACATAAAACTTAGTCTTTGTCTCGAAATTATCGATCCCAGAGCATTACTTTTGCAAATTCGAGCTTTTTATACCAAGCTTAATTGTCAACACAGAGAACATACTGTATTACATAAGGTCCCATACCAACTCTATTGCAGTTGTTTGAAAGAATAAAAAAGCAATTGCGTAATTGGGTGAATTCCAACATAGATTTTCCCGTTGGAGGTTTTAATTGTTTTTAAATTAAGGGATCAGCCGTCCAGCAACATCTGTGCCTTACAGCAACTATTGAACTATACAGATGTCCGTCGAAAGTATTAATTAGTCTCGTACCAGCATGTGTGATACCGTATTTCATGCTGATATCAACGTCAGAAAACAATGAAAAGAAAATTATTCTCTCAATATACTGTACTTTCATTCATTTTCATTCGTATTAATGTTCTCCAAAAAAGTCAATAATAACGCGTATATTTTTCAATCATGCGGGAAACCTCGGTATAGGTCAATCATAGGCTTATCACAGCAAAATCGGGCCACGAAAAAAAAAAAAACAATACAAGAAAACAATCGAATATCACTCTTCAAGAAATGTAACAATCAACAGCACTTTCTGTACAAACTCATGGGAATTGAAACTTTCATATTTTCGCATCCACTTCATCATCACTATACGAGTCTCAATCCAAACCAGCAGCCTTCATCGCGGAATGTAGAAAAGAAAAATAAACAATTACAAAAGAAAAATGCGGAAGCGGACCAAACAAAAATAGCAGACACAGATTTACGAAGAAGTTCTGTCCGTCGTGGAAGTAGCTGGTGTTGGTTCAGTCGAGCCATAGGAACGTACGGGGCTACAACGACCAAACAGCGCATCTTCGATAGTCGGACTGTACTGCACATCGTCGTCAACTGCGAACGAGGATTCGGCGTTCCTTGGAAAGAAAAAAGAAATTAACAGATTCTGATGACACAGAGAAGAGCGAGTAAAGACCATCGTGAGAACCTTCACCTGTAGAGCACATAGTGTTGGAACATGAAGATGAAATCAAACGCTATCGACAGGAAACTCAAACCCAGTTTGGTGGGGTTGCCCCAGATTGAGGCCCAAGCATCTGAAAAAAAGGAAAAAAAAAAACATTGAGAGAAAAGTAAGCAAAGATTAATAATTTCACCACTGATCAAGTGCTGTTTTCTCAAAAATTAGTTCCAGCACAGCCTTCAGACATTTTTTTCCAATACTGTACTCTAAGATTAACCCTGAGGCCCTGACTGAGAAACACGACATGGTTGGTCTTAAAAATCAATCAAAAAAATTAAATGTCAGCACGAGAAGTTTCGCAATCGTGTCAATTATTTTACAGGAACTATAGGCACCAATAATTCAGTACTTGAATATGCAGCATCCAGAAAATACTGCTATGTCCACGAATGAAAGCATACCATACATAAAAGTAATTTCAAATTATAACCTAATCAAAGTGAAGTGGAAAACGATCATTACAGCACAATTTTACCCGTATTTCCACAAGTATCACGCGCACCTTTTTTCTCAAAATTGACATGAAAAAAGGGGGTGTGCGTCATATGCAGGTAAAATTTTTAAAAAGGGTTCTGAAGTTCAAATGTGCATAACACTTGACTCCAATGAGAGAATTTTTGGACAATTTTCAATTTTAATGGAATTAATAGAATAGTAGTCATATTCAGGATTAATCCATGTCTCCATTCAAATTTTTGTTTTATTTTTCGAATATTTTAGTTTTAGAATCACCAAAAAAGGGGGTGCAGGTTATATGCCGGTAGAAATTAAAAAAAATGGTTAAGTTCAAGTTTGAATTATATTGGACTTCAGTGAGACAATTTTCAGATAATTTTCGATTTTAATGTAAATCATTGAATATTAGTCAAATTCAGTATCAATCCATGTCTAAATTCGAATTTTAGAGTTCTTACAGTTTTCAAATATTCTAGTTTTAGAGTCACCAAAAATGGGGGTGCGCGTCACATGCAGGTATAAATTTAAAAAAAGGGTTCAGAAGTTCAATTGTGCATTTCATTGACTTTCATGAGTCAATTTTTGGGCAATTATAATGGAATTAATTGAATATTAGTCAAATTCAGGATTAATCCATGACTACATTCAAATTTTTGCGTTCTTATTTTTCAAGTATTTCAGTTTTAGAGTCATTTAAAAAGGGGATGCGCGTGTCTTATACTCGAGGATACCATTTTTGAAATATTTTTAATTGGATAACCCTGGTGGGCGTCTTACTCAATGGCACGTGATACACGAGTAAATACGGTAATCAAGTTCTCGTCCGCACAATATTTTCAAGACGTTTTCCGGTGAAGTAAATTGAAGATTTCTCGACACCCGACCAACGCGGTACAATATTTACAACAACAACAGAAAACCCAAACCTACGAATACAGCATACATTTGCATACTGCGCAGGCATAATATGTCACAGCAGCGTATCTTCACCTCTATTATACGACATCAGCACCATCTGGAGGAAGCTAAACAGCCCACCAGTCAAATCCAGCAGAATGTTCCCGATACTCCAGCCGGCGGTGCTTTTCCTCTTGAAGTTCATGACGGCTTGCGGGATGTACTTGATGCACGTGATGATCAGCTTGACGTACGACAAGAGGACCACGTACATGAGCCACGAGAACAGGGCAGCAATGGCCATGATCGTCACAACAGCCGCGAATGTGACCAGCATCGAAAGCAGGATCAGCGCTAGAGCGGAAATTCTCTGATTTCCCCGCTCGTAAACCATGCATTGTATGCTGGTGACGAGACAGGCCAGGAGTGCGTGCGAAGCAAACGCCACGTCGTTCACATCCACCTGGGGGAAAAATATACACACGCACAGAAATAATGCGAAACACGAGTTCAATGCAGGAATAATAATAAATGACGCTTTCCAGCCAAAATTATTAATAAGTGGACTCTAGCTACAGAGATTTTCTCCAACACGATTTTTTTGTGGATCCCATAAAAGGTTCTTCACAAAAAAAATGCAACGGACTGGAAAATATTAATTTTAGGGAGAAGCTCGTTGGTTCTCAATAATGTATATAGGGGTTCTCTACAATGGAATTCAAGGGAGCAGAAAAAAAAATTCCTCGTTGAGAGAATTTCGATGTACAGTATCTACTACTCAAGGGGGTAGGAGGGTATTTTAGCCCATTAATTGCCAAATTTTTCACACACCCATTTTTTGCTTGATTTCACTTCATCTTTTATGAATGGATAGGTTAAGAAAATTTGTTTCTAAAACGACGCAAAGAACACTGGTTTGTTGTCACGACTCATCTACATCAGTGTTTCCCAACGTTTTTGAGCCAGGCAAATTTTTGTAAACTTTTTTTGCGGACAGACGAAGTCCCATCATATTTTTGCAGACCAGCAGCAAATTTTTTAAACGCGCGTCCTCCAAATAAAATAATGATAATACAAATAATCATTGAATTATCAATACTGTATAATATCATTTTTAAATAATATTTCAATTAAGTCCTCTGAACAAACATTTCATTGCAAAAATCAAGTTTAGAAGCGATTATGCAGCAGCCGGATGCCTTTCAAATTAAAACAAAAAATAGAAAGCTGGGCTACAAAAAGGTTTTCTCAAAATGAAAACATAGAATAAATTTATTTCAGCAGGTGAAATTTTGTCTGAAGTGGTATTGGGAAATGAAGTTGATAAACCATTGTTTATTTTTAACCAGCAGACAATTTTGACTACAATTGTCTTTCCAAAATTTCAGATGAAGATAACAAACTTCATTACTACTTTTGATTTAAAAAAATTTATGCTGAAAAAAATTGTCTTGCGGACCGGCAAAAAATAAACTGATCTACACCATTCACGTTTAAAAGATTAAAACATCCCAAAATCAATAGGAAACTAAAATCCACAAACCTGTACGATGCTTCCAGGATTCTCGCTCAAGAACTCCTCCCTCACAGAGCCCACGTAGAGCATAGCAATGTTGAAGACGGTATAGCACAAGAACCCCAGCAAGTTCAAGCTGACAAAATCGAGACTCAGCCCGACGACGCTCTTGCGTCGCCAATTGCAATAAATTTGGGGATAGAACGAGATGGACCAGGCTAGAAAGTAGACCCAGCCAACGACCTGAGCCAGAATCGACACTGCACTAGACTTGTACACAACCACCGACACTGCGACGTCTTCCATACGACGTGGCAAGAGGCCCGAGGGGTCGAAAACGAGGCCCGTTTCTCCGGGTCCAATGGCAGTCACTGAAACAGTGGCAGTTTCTTCTTTTCCGACGACTGAGTACACCAGGGATGTTGGGGACACTGCCACTACATTGGCACCTGTTGGTGCCCATGATATTGTTCCAGTAAAGTTTGACCTGGGATGGCGAGAAAAACGAAAATCAGAAATTTCAAGGTCAATTTTCGTGGATTGTGAATTTGTGGGACGCAAAGATTTATTTGAATTCTCCGTTGACACGGAGGACGCCTGGCGTTCTTTGGTTAATTATTCTCCTTTGTCCCTGTACTCTTCACATAGATGTCGCCTGAAAAACTTTGTACAGTCACTCAAATGAAATCGTTCGAACTCGGATGCATTAAAATTGGCACTAATTTCGATACGAGGAAAGCTTCACAGAAAACATTATATTGAAGAATTTACGTGAGCTTCTGAATTGAGGGATCTCGGCGTCATCTAGTTATGTTACCCATCTTCGTCATTATGATCTCCCCAAAGATGTCACCTGAACAACTCCATATACATTTCCGAAGAAAGCCATTCGAATTGAAACTCATCACATTTTTTCACCCAGTTTTACAAGATGAAAACTTCACCGAAAATCCACTATTCGAGATTTTAAAAGTGATTATGAATTGAGGCCTCCTAGCGTCCTCTAGTTACGTTATTCATCTAAATAACCAGAGTCTTCAAACAGATGTCGCTCGAACATATCTGTATAAATTCCGGCGGAAAATCATTCGAATAGGAACACATAATACCGTACAGTACTTCTTACTCCTCGCCCAGTTTACTACGATTATAAATTTATCGAAAACATCTCACTCAAGAACTTACACAACACGAATTTTTAGAGATCCCGTAGATCCCAACAGCAAAGACAAGTAACTTGGTTCGATCGTAACCTTCGCCGACTTCGTCAATCCTGAAGAGAAAAACCAGCGAATACACGAAATTACTCAAAATAACCGAAACGCCAACCGGATCACCCGAAAATTGAAACCAGCGAAGGGCAAACTCACCTCCGACGGCACCAGAGAATTCGATGATGCTGATGACAATGAGAGTCAAAATGCATAAGCATCTCACCAGAATTTTGTCCATAATTAACGCACTTGAAGAATAATAACATCCACAGCCATGAGAGACGATATCGGCGCGTTTATAGTTTCCTGTGAATTGTCATGAAACGAAATATCAGATCCTGTTTTTCAAGAATATTACGGTAATACCCAGTCGAGTAATGACATTATAATATTATTTTTGAAACAAACTCAAATATTTTTCAAGGTTTTCGCAGATTGGAATATAGCCTCAGGGTGCATGAGTTTCAATATAACGAATGAAAAATTTTCTGTTTACTTGAGTACCACGTGATGCCTTGTTTCATACAAGTAATATTATTAAACGGAGAACTCCGAAAATAAATTTGAAAGTGGGGCGAAAAGTTTCAAATTCTTGAAAAACGCCACTCAACATTTTAAACCCAACTGTGACACGCACCTAATTTTTTGCCTAAATTTATTAGAAAAAAACGGCGCGCGTGAGACTCGAATAAAAATGGTACCTGATGGCTTTGTTGTAACAAGAATATATTTTACAGTACTGTACTACAAAATTTACAATAGGATTAACCTTACGAATTTTCGTCTTTTATAGTCCCTAATAGACACTGGGAAATTTTTAGGAACAGAAACGGCGAAAATTTGAAAATATAAACCGAATTTTGCCAATATCAGATAATCAAGAGCTAAAGATTTCCAGAAATACCGTACTGCACTTCGATTTCATGCTAATAACTCGCTGGAACGTACCGTACACTCCTTCAAAATTCCATCAAGGTTTCTTCTCGAGTATTTGGAGTGGGTTGAAAAAGTTTTCAGTTGTAAATTGAGTAGTACAGTATTTTGTTTTGAATAATAACACTTCGCAACGTGTTATCCATCCTGGACCAGCACGATTCGTTTCGTTATGCAAACAGACACGGCAATTGAGTCCGAATTTTCAAGACATTCTACAGTTCTTTTTTTCTTTCTTTCAAAAAATGACAATAATTGCAGAGTGAAATTCGCGGTGTTTCACTGCCGAGTCGGACACGAGTTCTCGGCGATGGCAAAATGTTGTGTCCGAGCACAAATCGTATCATCATGCAGAAACGTTCTTTCCAGCAGGAAGCCCAAGAGAGGGAAGATGAGAGAAAGTTCTTCCTCGCTTTCACTCCGCTAAATGCACTTAGCTTCTTCGATGTTCGATCAAAAAGTTCGGTACATTTCAATGAAGCATCACCAAATCTAAACGCACATTCGCTCGCTGGAAAGAAGCAGGATTTGTCAAAATGTGCCGATTAATGCCAATATTTTCCGCGGATGTCAGTATGTTGCGAGTTTAATTTTTTTTGGGCAGCCATTTTAAGACACGCGCAAAAAAAATTGCGGCATAGATCGCATGAATTGGGGATTTTTTAAAATAATAAATTCTCCCTGAACACGGATAAAGCCAGGAATTGCAAAAACGTTGGTTCATTCTTTCTGGGAAAAGCAACTGTTCCGACGAGTGTCTCAATTATTTCACATGAGCCAAAAATAAATAAAAAAATAATGGCACAAGAGGAAAAAACTTCATCCTCATTAAATTATAAATACGGTACTGTACACCGCTTTCACTATACATTTTACACAAACAAGGAAGTGCTTTTTACTTCACTTTTTGTTTTGATTACGTTTCTATCGCATTAAATCCGACTGAAAATCCATGAAAACAAGCAGAAGGTTCAAAGTTTGCGCCTCGGCAAAGCTTAAATTGTTTTTTTAATAAGGATTTTAAAGGAAAATGAGCAGCGTTGACTGCATCGAGGTGAAGAGTGAAATCATTTGAGAACTTCGAGAAGCCAATTTCATTGAAAATCATAAAACCGAAGTTTATCGCAGTCAACATATCTTGAAAAGAAACGCGACGACGTTCCAAAAATGATCAACCGCTGGAAAAATGGTCAACTTCTGCGATACGTACAGAAGATCATCCCTAACTTGCAAAAAAAAAGGATTAAAATTTGTTCAAAATAAAATTCACTTCAAGACAGAAATTCGGAATTTTCGCCCTCAGTTGACCAAAGAGTGAACAAGCTACATTTTTACTCCACCAGCGTTGAATTTGAATTCTTTATTTTATCATGAAGGCAAACATTTACATTCCAATTATCTCTACAAATTTTCGCCTTTTTTTAGTCCTTAGGAATAGAAAAGAGAAAATTTTGAAAAGATAAACTGAATTGAAATTTTGCCAATATGAGAAAAATCAAGAGCTTAATATTTCAAGAAATAGAAAATTCAAGTACATGCTAATAAACTGCTGGAATATACAGGCATTTTAAATGTCATCAAGGTTTCTTGTCCAGTGTCTGGAATGGGTTGATATTTTCAGTTGATTCAACTTAGGGACACTTAGAAGTGAAAAAAATCTACCCATGACATCTCAATAGTGGCT